TGTCAGGGGTTCTGGGGCCTGTATGATGTTAAACTCCCACACGCACTCCTGTCCGGAGCACATAGTGACACTGGGAGGGATCCAAGCTGTCATCATTTCAGAGACCCCTTTCTCTGACCTTCCCTGCATGTGTATATGACATTCCATCATTCTGCAGAACCCAAGTGGCGCAAAACTGAAAACGACCTAAATAGCCAAGAGGTCCGCCTACCAGGTGCTGCTAAATAGCTGGTGAGTGGTCCCATGGTCCGCATGAGCACAGCCGCCTGCAGGAAATCCTTGGCGGGGTTGGCCATTCCATATGGTGCTTCTCTGATTAAAGTTCTTCCTTGCGTTGGCCCAAGGGCATCCCTTCTAAGTCCAGACAGTTACCTTTCCGGATGGTCATTCAGCCACACAGGTGGAGACATTTACTGATAGCTTACTGTTGCCATGCGCCACGCTGGTCCTAGGCTGGTGGACCATAAACAGAATCTTGTTTCCAGTGGGGACACGGGGCACTCCTTCAGCTGTCCCTCCATGGCCTAGTCTCGGGTTCCCTCATTTCCCTCGCCTCCAGCTGGCCTGTGTCCCTCTGCACATGTGTGTGTGGAATTGATGTTGGAAACAACTTGACACAGAATAAATACTCTTTCACGATCTGTTTTACAAAATGCAACCTGAGTTTGAGTGGTCGGGTCCCCCTACCCCATGTCCTGTCAGTATGAGGCAAAATAGTTTAATAGAAATTTGAGCCCTGGCTGGTTTGGCTTAGTGGATTGAGCGCTGGCCTGCAAACCAAAGGGTCGCTGGTTCAATTCCCAGTCAGGGTACATGCCTGGGTTGCGGGCCAGGTCCCCAGTGAGGGGTATGTGGGAGGCAACCACACACTGATGTTTCTCTCCATCTCTTTCTCCTTTTCTCCTTCCCTTCCCCTCTGCCAGAAAGAGAAAGACAAGAAAGAAAGAAAAGGAAGGAAAGAAGAAAAGAAAGGAAAAGAAAGAAAATTGTTTTTAAAAAAAGAAATTTGAGAGTCAGTACTGGGACAAGCCCCTTGCTTAATCTGAGGGTCAGGATTTTTTAAATTTTTAGTTTGTATCATGAGGACAATCGCAAGGCATGAGACTGCATTTGAAATGTTCAACAGCGTCAACCCCTGCACTCGCCAACCGCTGGCTATTCCACATACTACCGCATTCATGTCCCACCCCTGACCTGCTTTGCACAGGCTCTTCTGCTCAGCCCAGCTCCCAGCTGTTTTGAACACGACGCAGATCCTACCATCATTAAGCTCCAGTGAGTCTGTGACACTTGGCCCGTCCCTTCACCTGCTCTTTGGGATCCTGAACTTGTCATGTAACCCATTGTCCTCTCAGCCCACAGCATCTGGAGTTGTCCTCAGGGTGCCACCCACGCCCTCCCCCTAGGAAGGTATGAGTAAGTAAGGTCAAGGGCAGCCACCTGGAATCTGTCCCCGGGACCTTCCTTCCGGATGGGTGTTGATCTTTAATTAGTACTCTTGGCCATGTCCACTCACCCAGTCATGACCTTGTAGAACCTCAAAACCATTTTATGAAGTCCTCTCAAAATGAAATTCTGACTACCATTCTGTATTATTTTCTTTAGGGAACGTGGAACATGAAAAATTAACTCTTATTTTTAATCAAGTTCTTACATTTAACATGCTTCCTGCCTAAGTCTGTAATTCAACTTGTTCTGGAACAAATCATAACCAAGTAATATGTTTTGCCTCGCCAAAATAATGTTTTGTGAAAAAATGTTTATGAGAAAATGAAGCTTTCTTGCTTTATAAAATTAAAAATAAGAAGTATACGTTAGAAGAGTCTGCATATTTCTTTCCATATAGAACTAACTTGGGCTGGCTTTTAAGTAAAGTCAAAAGAAATTTAAATACTACGGAAAAGCTGGCATTGGATTTACATTTTTCAACACAAAGCCTTGCAGGTTGGTCAGAGAAAGGCCATCAGACTTGTTCAAAGTCAAACACTGCTAGTAAGAGAGGGAGCCATGGAACACAGGGCTTCGGGTGTGCAGAGCTTAGAAAATGCTAGAAGATACACTTATCCATGGTGTGGGAGCAGCATTCCAATATGGCCTCAAGGTTTCTACGAACTGGTGGACACGCCCTACAAAATCCCCACTGCAGTGTGAGCAGAGCCTGTGAACTTGAGCGATCCGGACTCCCACAGTTAGGTTATTGTCTATGGTAAAAGTAATTTTTCAGATGTAATTAAGGCCCTAATAAGTTGACTTTGCGTTAATTAAAAAAAGAAAGAAAATTAGTCTGGATGGGCCTGGTTTAATCCAGAGAACCTTTCTAAGAGGTCAGATCCAAAGTGAAAGAGACTCTCCCGCCAGCCTTGAAGGAGCCACTGCCTTGCTGAGGACAAAAGTGAGACCTCAGTTCTGCAGTCGCAAGGAACTGACTTCTGCCAACAATCCATGAGCTTCCCATAGAGAGGATCCCGGCTTCAGATGAGACCGCAGTTCTGGCTGATCCGATTTCAGCCTGGTGAGACCCTGTGCAGAGGATCCAGTGGCGCGGTGCCCAGACTCTTGACCCACAGACTCTGTGAGATAGCAGATGTGTGCTGTTCATGGTCATTTGTCACTCAGCAGTAGATAACTAATTCACACGGGACCAGTCACCTCTCAGGAGAGCTGCCCAGAGGAAGTGCAACCCAGGATGGCACGTCCAGAGTCAGTTGGCTCAACCTCATGGGCAGTGTCCATGCAGTCACAGAAAAAAACGTACGGGGTTGAGATTTCACACTGAACATTCCACACCAGGACACAGACCATCTTTCCCTCCACGGCAGTAGGTGTCAAGGCTAATCAGGCACCAGAATCACCTGAAGGCTGTTGGAACCGATGGCTGGATTAGGACAGGTGGCTGAGCTCCCGCCTCAGGCTTGGGGCGGGGTCCGGGAATAGCGGGTCTAGAAAGTCCCCAGGTGAAGCTGATGCTGCTGGTCCGGGGACCCCACCTCGAGAACCACTGCTCTGTGATAAAGACGTCCAAGTGTCCTTCAACATTTGATTTCTGTATCTGACCTTCTCCTCATTTGACATGAAAACATTTTTAACATTTTTTTTAAAAAAAGATAAAGAGAAGGAACAGAACCTGATAGGCCTTTGAGTAGTCTAATTAATCTTTGGAAAACATCTATTTGGATGAAGTCATGAGAGACTAGTAGTTAAGCTGGGTTTTTAAACAACTGTGTTGTTCTGTCCCATTAAAGGTCCATTTGGGGGCCCGTGGGGCGTCCGTGTTTCCCTTTGCCATCACCTTCCCAGCTCCAGAGCGTCAGCTGCCTGTCACCCAAGGCACGTCCCTCCAGGCCCCCGCCCCAGGTGGCAGTGCGGAAAGGTGCTTCAGGGAAACGAGCTGTCTGCCTGCACCAGTCCTGACCCACGACCTCACCTTGAACCCTGGGAGCCAGAGTGAACTTTTGGCTGAGCCTCGGGAATCTGTGGGGTTCCATGGAGTACCCCGAAGACTATTTAAGATGAAAAGAGGGGACGTGTGTCCTGCAGGCAGAAGAGATTGCGGGGGTCCTGAGCGCGCAGTGGGCCAGCAGAGGTGTGGAGGGAGCAGAGAGAGAACGCTCTTCGTGGAATGAGGAGTATGAACTGGGGAGTGCTTTGACATTAGATCATGACAGGGGCAGAGGGTCACCGTTCTTTCACGACATAACTTAAGATTTATGTGGGAGGACTCCGCATCATCTCCTCCAAGATTACCACGTGTCAGAAAGCTTGCTCATCTGGAGGGGGTGGGAGTGCTGGGGGACCTAACTGGAAACATATGGGAAAGCTGAGTACGATCGTCACGTCTTGTTTCTGTTACTTCACTCCTGACGCAGCCTTGAGAGAGCGGAACTGAGTGACGACCCGAGCACATTTGTGTTTCTGGGCAGCGTGGAGGCGCGCCTTGACTTTGCATCCCCAAATAAAAACGACTGATCTTTTCCATTAGGGCAGTGTGGGTGACCCCAGCTGCCAGCTTTGATGCTTTATTTATTTTCTCCCTAAGAGATAGAAGCACTTCGGGGGCCCTCCCCCAGCTGCCGGGAAATGGCTGACGGGACGACTCCTCTTAACCCACGTGACGCAGCGTCTGAAGCTTTGGGCCCTGGGTCCCACCGACGTGAAAGACCATTGCCAAAAGGGCCAGAGGACCAAGGTTTGGCAGCTTCACTGAGTCACAGCAAGAGGATGACCAAGCGCAAAACCAGCCCCACCCCAGCTGTGAAAGGGGCCCACTCAGACCCCGACGCGGGCTGGTCAGCTTTGCTCCCTCTCCCAGTGCAGTGCTCCGCCTCTCAAACTGCTGTCACGTTGGCCGAGGCTGGCGAGATTTGTGACACGTACGAGAGAAAAGACGTCAAGAGAAACTGACTTGAGACCAGGCCAATAGTGTCTGGTGACAGGTCAGGCCCACGGCTGGCGAACCACACACCACGGCACCCAGATGATCCTGGGTGGGAAGATCAAGGCCACGAGCTAGAGCCTCGGAGAGGGAAGGCCAAGTGGAAACCTTAGAAGCTGCCTCTGGTTTCTTTACAGTGAGGAATCACAGCTATGCATGACGCTTTATTTATCAACGATCATACAGTTTGCATTAAGAGCCACAGGGTGTTCATTCCACAAATGTTTTGTGATCACAGAATGAAGTAAGGCTGCCCTGGGTCCCGGTGCTGATCTGGAATGTCTCCATGGCAACCTCAGCATCAGAGGCCTCTTTCCATTCCGGGCATAAGAAAGGAGGCCCAGGGGGGACCTTTGGTCCTTCTGCTCCAGAAAGGGCTAGGGATAAAAGAGAGAGGGCCGGAAAGACCTGGAAAGGCTGACGACGCTGCCTGGGTGCCAGCCACCCTCTCTGCTTGCCTCTCGCTTCCACAAGCTCCGGGACATAATGAAATTATAACACAAAACCCACAACACTCAGCACAGGTTTCTCTTACGCAACTTTAGTCGCTGAAAAAAGTGCAAAGGCAGACGCCTGTGTAAATCTGATTTGCCGTGCTAGGCCAAGCTTATTTTATTACATACATTCTGCATTCTAAGAACTAATAACTTCATATTGTAAACATTAAGCATACAGAGTTAAATTTCAAGGCCACATTATATCATCGATTGTCTCTTTTGTCATGTATCTTTGGCTGGCCGAGATCAACTCGTAGTGTATAAATGCATAAGTTATATAATTATTATATAAAAAGGGAAAAAAAAGAACACATTGACTTGTATACTTCATTCTGACAAACGCACAGCGTTCGCGACTCGAAAGGAACACTGGAGCCCGCCTCGCCCAGGTGCCCGGCGGGGTCGGCGTGCGGCAGCCGAGACGGCGTCTCTCACCTGACCCCGTGGAGAGCAGAGCCCCCACAAAGGCACGCTGTCCTGAATGATCGTTTTAAATATCAGTCAATTCCAGTTACAATTTTCTTTTGACAAACAAACAAACAAAAAAAGAGATGCACGTTTTTTGTGTCTGAATTCTACCACTTCCCCTTCCTCCGTTCTGCTGCGTCCTCCCTCTTAACACTGGGTTCGGTATAACACTGACTGCATTCGACCTCCAGCCTCCGCGACACCTTCCCCACGGTCCCAGCACTGCCCCAAGTCCAGCCGTCACTGCTTGAGAAGCTTCTGTCCCTGCCCTGCCCCCTCCTGCTCGGCTTCCTCCGGCGCTGCCTCCTCCTCTTGCACATCCTCCAGCCCTCTGTCTACAGCCACATCCTCTCCACGCACGTTCGCAATCCACCGCTCGGCTCCCGGTCCCTGGAATACTGGAAAGGAGCTGGAAACTCTGGGTCGTCTTCACAGTTTGAGGGCGCCGACAGCCCTCCATCAAATGGAATGGATCTGATTTCACCAGAAACAGCAAACGCCGATGAGTTCCGGATCAACGTCTGTTGCACAGTCTCTCTTTTTTTTTCTTTTCTTGTCTTTTTTGATATGTTTCTATTTTTAAATACAGGTAGTTTTCCTTAAAATGACGTTACGAACGGTATGTTAGGTCAAGACTGTTATCTGCGTTGCTTTAGTTCAATCCCGGTTCGCATTATTAGCAGGATCCCGAACTCTACTCTAAAGTGTATACGCCTCCTAAGACCACTTTCTTTGGCACTTTGTCCTAGGACGTCATGCTTCTACTTACAATGGCTTTTACAAAGTTGGTCCACAGAGTATATGTCTGTATACGTTACATTTTTAGCATCCTCTTTGCTTCTGTAGTAATACTTGGGTAATTCCCTCCCACTAAGAGTCTTTGGATCTTGCCCCTGGCTTCCCTCCCCAGGCCCCTGTCAAGCTTTCTCACTCCTCTTGAGGCACTTTTTTGATTCCTCTTCTCCAATAGAGTTTGTGGCAATTTCCTGGTGAGCGTGTGTTGTTGGGAAGGGCCTCTCTCAGGTCTTTAGTAGTAAGTGCCCAGGTGAGAAGGCATGTGGCTGGCTGGAAGCCTAGTGTTAGGGTACAGACCCCCAGTAGGTGAATTCCAGTATGGGTTTGGGGCAGCGAAAAAACTGGACGACGTCACAGGGAGGGCCGGAGGGTGGGGAGCCACGAAGTTCATCTTCTGTGGGTGGGCGTGGTAGGAGCCCATGTAAGGCAGGTCCGAGGGGTACTTGTAGAGAGATGACTCTGGAGGGTGGGGCTGGAGGGCCTGGGCGATTCCATGGAAGTCGAACTTGTAGGCGTAGCGCTTCCCGTGGACTTTGGTCATGATGTTTTTGTCATAGTAGTAGCGGAGGGCGCGGCTGAGCTTATCGTAGTTCATGTTGGGTTTGCTCTTTCGCTCCCCCCAGCGCCGGGCCACCTCGTCGGGGTCTGTCATCTTGAACTCCCCGTTGGTGCCCTCCCAGGTGATGCAGTTGGAGTTCGAGCTGTCGGACAGGAGCTCCAGGAGAAACTGCCACAGCTGGATCTGGCCGCTCCCTAAAGGGGTGGGGGACAGGAAACACAAAGCCAGTGAGGACAGGTGCCACAGAAAGGCCTTCGTCCTTCAGTCACAGAAGCGGGTGCTGCTTGTGCGCCCAGGCTCCTTTGCCAGGCCTGTGTCCCCACCCCTCGGACGCAGGGCCCACCCTGGCTCTGCAGCCTCCCCCACCCCAGCAGGCCACGGCCAGAGGGGCAGGCAAAGGGTAGCGGGGCCGGGCCCCCTTGCCTCAAGGAGGGGCCACGTGTGTGATGCTGTTCATGCTCCAGAAGGTCCCTGTGATCAGACTAAAGCCGGGGTCCGGCGAAGGCACCGGTGTCCTCAGCTTTTCCCTGCCCTGTCCGGCCTCCTCCTTCCCTCCCTCCTCCCCCAGAACACACCCTTCACTGCTCACACATACAAGGATCCTTATCCCAAACTCTGCATCCGGGAAACCCGACCTGGGACGACGACCCTCGGTGACCACCAGGCTGGCTGACAGACCCAAGCCCTTTATCAAAAGCAGAGACTTCCTAGGGGGCCAAGCCTGGGGGGTCCCACCCACTTCTGAAGGCCTCAGGAGAAGGGCCAGGTCAACGTGTTTCAAGGGGTGGGGGGAGGGCTCATTGTTCCTCTCCTGTGAGGCAGAATGTGCCGTTATGTTGATGGCAATAATGACTTCACGCCATTTATACTGGCTAGGTCAAGTGAAATAATAAAAGTCAGATTTAGGAAATGAACTTCTAACAAGTTTATGGAAAAAACTAGAGAATGGAAGTAAACACCGTTACTTCTAACATAACATTTTGCTGGCACTCAGCAAGCCATTCTGTCAAAGCTTTTCCTAGAACAGAATTAACCCCCTGACAATGAGGAAGTTTAGAAAAAAGGTTGGCTCTTTGTCAAACCAGATCACCCATGTCCAGTATCTGGGCAAACGAGCCCTCACGGAAACCCATGTGCTCGGGCCCCGCTCGGCAATGCCAACTGCGCCCAGGAGCGTTTCCGAAAGAAAAAGCGCACCGACGAGGGACCGCAAGCCCAGGAGGCCTGGTGTGACTGCGTGGGCACCGTCACAATGTCCCCGACCCGCCGGAGACACTGAGATGCGGCTTTCAGGCTGAGTCACGTCCAGGGGCAGGTGTAGACACCTCACTCTGGCCACTGCGCTCCAGAACTTCGGCACCGCGTGCGGCCCCCACAGAGGGGAGCCCCGGGCACTGACAGCCACGCCGCGCCCCAGGAGAGGCAGGGATGCTTCGGAAACAGATCCGGAGCCGTTCCTCCCTCCTCAACTCCAGCTGCAGCGCCCGACACTGCCTCGGGCTTGTGACTGAAACGATGACCTTTCATTGCACTATCAGCGAGAATCAATAGACGTGGTCAAGTGATTAAAGCCACTTTAGCTGGCAGCCATTCCAGGAAGGGACGGGATATAAAAATCGATGATAAATCCATCTTTCACTCAGCCCGCCTCTCCTGGCTCCCTGTGTCCACTGTCCACCTCCCAGATCCCCGCTTCCACACGGCCGCCTGGAAATGGGCGTGCGTGTGAATCCATCCATGCGACTGCGTTGTGGGAAAGGTCAGCCTTTTCTGACTACGCTCTGGAAGGTTATCATTTTCAGTCTAGTAACACATTTGCAAGGTATTAGCAGCTTGTAGTTCATCACAATGGGGGCCTTTGCTTTTTCGGGACAACATGTTCAAACTGTTCTCAATCAAGTGTTCTTGCCCCCAACGTTTCATTAATATGCATTAAAAAAATACAAAGAATGGTATGAGAAAGCCATATGGTTTTAGTATATATATTGTAACCAAAGGATTAATACTTGAAAAAAATTCCATATATGACCTGGGAATAAGGGAAAACATGGATTTTTGATTTATGGGTCTAACATATGTTTCCATATAAACACAGGATTGTCTGAAAATATTCACTGTGAGCCTCCTCCCATGAAGAGAGCAATTCCACAGATTTTGTATAAATACACAGACCTTCCTGAGCAGCCAGAATAATACATGGCATCTAGTCAAGCCTTGGCATTGCCCCTTAGGAATTTGTCCCTCGCCACGTCCTTCATCAACGTGAGGAACAGAGATCAGTGGACAGAGATGGCTTCCCGCCCCTGCTGCTTCAGAAGCACCAGGAAGTCGGGGACCTAACTCCCTGGCTGGAAATAAAGCTCAGGGGCGCGGGGAAGCACTTGTCCCTGTTTTGCCCTAAACTGGCCTTTAAGAAATGGGGCTCTGGCCTCTGAGCATTTCCAAGACCTGTAAACAAAACCCACCAGCCTCCACACCTGGGATGAAATTGTTAACGCCCAATCAATGAACATTTATAAAACGGAACATTACGTCCAGTTCATGAGTCGTTAAATCTGCCACCCATCGCGAAACCCATGGCATTCGAAGTATACGGCAGGTTTTACCCCTGCGCAGGATCCTCAAGGCTGCGCCGTGGCTGCGAGAAGTCGAAGTCAACGGCGAGTTACAGAATTACTCGTGGCCCGCAATTTCAAAAGCGGCCTATCCCAGTTTTTCACTGTCAAAGCAAATGCACGCTTCCTGTGCGATGAGAGTGCGTTTTAGGGTGCCGGACAGGGTGTCCGAGACAGGAGCACCTCGCGTTCGGGAAGCCGAAGAGCGACGGGTCTGACTGGCCAAACCCAGAGGTGTGAGGAGAAGCCCCTGGAAGACACGGCCCTCCACCCCGACCGCACCCCCACCGGCACCTCGTGATTCCAACACCCGTCCCGCCTGTTCTCCCCGTTCCCTTGATAACATCCTGCACGCCAGGGAGGCGTAGGCGCTGGCGCCTTATTTTTGTCCAGGGCAGGACCGGGCAGTGGGGAGAACAGCGATGCGGGCGGCCCCCCGCAGGAGAGCCCAGCGGGACGAGTGGCACTGGGCTGCGGCGAGGGCGAAAGGCGCTCCTTGCGTTTTTCGGAGACAAGCAGCCTCCTACCGTGGTGAAAGAAGAGAAACACGCTAGCCAAGGGGCGCAGGCAGGGCACAGAAGGGCAAAACACCAGAGCAGTTTAGAGATCACAGAGGGGAGCAGAGCAGGGAGCGAGTCGGCAGTTATGGGCAAGCAGAAGGACTGTCCCTGAGCAGGACACCGCGGGGACATCTGACAGAGGCGCCAGGGTGGCAGTCATGTGGGGCCACTCTCTACCGTAGCTGGGGCGCTGCGTAAGAGTCACATGAAAACCAAGGCAGCGGCACGTCCCAGGGAGGCGTGGCCAGGGCTCAGAAAGGACCCCTTGGAGGGGCAGGCTGTGTGCTGGCCGGAGAGGCACTGGCCGGCTGGATCCAGGCTCTGCCACGTGGGGCCCTCGGGCAGCTCGCCCAGCTCTGTGCCGCGCCATCACCATCTGCAAGACGGGCATGACGGGAGCAGGACTACCTCCCGGGGTGACTGCGAGGACGCACTCGGTAGGCGAACACGCTCGCCACGATGGCTTTGGGCAGAAAACCCCAATTTAAAGACCGGTGTGGCCCTTGCCTGTTGCCTGGGGATGCCCCCATGAAGCTTACCCTGTGCCAGGCGCTGTTCTGAACACTCTGCGTGAGTTTATGTAACAACCCCCCCAAGAACCACATGCTCGCCCAAGGCAGAGACGAGGAAACGAGAGCCCAGGGCGCTGAGGGATGGAGGTCACCTACAGCCAGCAAGCGCTGGACACCGGCCCCAGGCCACTGACCCTGAATCACGGCACAAACTGGCTCTTGGGCCTGGTTTCTGCCCAACCTCCAGTCCCCTCAAATCCTTCCCTGGCTGTCCCCTCCCTGGGCCTGGGGCTCAGTAAGTTCCCGGGGGAGACTGGACACCCCACCTCTTAACAGGCAGGAACATCCCCCGTGCACTGGGCCTCCAATTTTGCACAAAGCTCGATGCAGTGCTCTGCCTGCTGTGAAAAACTATCCAGTTGTCACCAAGGCCACTAAGCACATGTCACACGACAAAGCTCTCTGTGGAAAGGTGATCTCAGGCCATTCAAGGAGCCACCTGACACACTCAGCCGGCCGGGAGGGACCACAGGCGTGGTCTGATCCACGACACAGCTACACAGGGACACGCTTCTCTCAGCAGGAGAGAGAGAGCCAAAGTGCACGCCAAGAGAGTATCTGGGATGGAGAGGCTGAGGGGTTGCTATCACCTGCGCATTCCTGCCGGGTGATGTCATCTTTCCACTGAAAATGATGAAAGAATTTGCACCGTGGAAAGAGCCAAGGTGGCCGTGGAAGTGAGGAAGGATTTATTTACAAAGAACGGAATAACAGACTCACACAGGAAGAAACATTAATAGAAAGATAAAAGACATTGTGGAATCGGGGGAAGGGCCACATGAAGACAACCGAGAGGCCGTGAGGACAGATGGAGAGACAGGCAGATTCACCACAAACTAAGTAAAATAAGCCTTTCTATTCAGATCAGAAGCTGGGTGGCGCCCCTGTCCCAGGCCCACCGAGAAAGGTCTCTGGGGTAGAAGGCAGGCCCCTCGCTCAGGGCACGAGAGGCCACTGACCCCTTAGGTGCCCAGGCCTGCGACAGTTTGCCGCCTCTTCCTGGCTCTGCCCGGGGTGCCCCCACCTGCAGTGGGCACTCCAGCGGCCGGGCAGCGTGCCAGTGAGAGCCGACGCCCCACTTAGGGGCCAGCCACCCTCTGTGGCCCCGCTGTCCCCCCAGCCACACCATGGAGCTGTGACAATATGCGCGTGGACATAAATTTCATTTAGCCAGCTTGAGTGAACGGAGAGGCCAGCGTGGTCTTGTTTGGCACCCCCGACACACTCCTCCCCTTCATCGCTGACCACGGGCCCAGCCTGTGCACCTCAACAGCTGTCAAACTGCGTGGTGACCCTTCCTCTGTCTTCTCTGGTCGTCAACCTTTCTCTCTCTCTTCTCCTCCTGGGCTCACGCATGGCGGTTTAGGGGAAGAACAGGAAAGCAGACTTTGCCGCAGAGAGTCCGGGTTCAAGTCTGGCCTCCCTTCTCGTTGGCCGTGTGACCCAGGAAAGGTTACCTAACTTCTCTGGCCCTCGGAATCCTCTTCTGTAGGGTGAAGACAGTGACCTCCCAGGGCTGCGAGGTACAGGACCACAGGCGCAAGCGCTAGCCAGGCACACGGGGGTGGGGCTATGAGAATGTTCTCTGATATTATCACAGGGACATTCCCAGAGAGGTTCAACCTCCGTCTTTCCCTCTCATCTCTCCCAAACGCCGCTCCAGATCAGTCCTCCCAGAGCATGGCTGATCATAATCATCTCAAAACACGGCCACCCTTTCTACCTGAAGGGCTGTGGGCACTGTCACATGTGGGGAGGGACCAGAGACCCAGGAGACGTGGCCCCCACGTGGATGCCCACACGAGGAAGGAGCCCGTGGCCGCCCGGCTTGGCCAGTGTTGTAATTACCTGTGACCACTTCCCCATTGGCATGTATGCTCCTTGAGGTCAGGATGATTCCTTATTGTTCTTGCATTTATTTATCCAACAAGGAATGACTGGGCACCTTGTCTAGGCCCTGAATGGGGGAGAGTAGTAACTAGAACTGTCCCTTGTAACTGGTCAGATGCTTGAAGAATCTTTGCTGAATGAGTTAACCTGAACTAAAGTGTAAGGTCAAAGAGGGCAGACTCTGTAGTGATATTTCACGTTCTCAAAGGACACGCTCCCTTGTGGGCGTGTATGCTGACCGCAGCTGAATTTTTCCATCTCCTCTCCCCTTTTGGCCTCCGTGTTTAGGAACCATACGTCCCAGCTTGTCCGCGCAAGATGCCTGTGACATCTTGGCACCTGAACTGGCTGTGGAGGCTGCGCAGCCCATGCTGCGACTTCCCCACAGCACAGCTGGCTCTGATCCGAACGTAAACAAACAAAACAATGGGCTGGCACTGAAACGTGATGACAGGTGACAGTCTTTGGCAAGGTACTGGTTACCAATGGGCTGATTAGGAATCTGTACTTTCTTCTAGCATCTAAGCTGAGAAACAGACCATGCGTGGAAGAGAATCCTAAGCTGGAAAGTGTATGGTTGTAATTAGCATGCTCCTTTTTTGAAATACAATGTCACTGCTTGTGTAATAGGTTGAATTGTGTCCCCCCAAAATCACATGTTGGAGCCCTCACGGCCCCAGCGCCTCAGACTGTGACCTTACTTGGCCACGAGGTCTTTAGGGAGGTGATCGAGTTAAAGCGAGGCCATCAGGGACCCTACTCCAATAGGAATGGTGTTGTTAGGAAAGGTGACTTCAGACAACAGAGACACACATGGAGGAAAGACAAGGAAAGAGACATAGCAGAAGGGTAGAAGGTGGCCGTCCGCTAGCCACGAACGGAGGTCCGGAACGGATCCTTCCTCCCCGGCCCTTGGACAGCCCTTGGGAGGAACCACCCCTGCCGACACCTTGATTTTGGACTTCATCCTCCAGAACTGTGAGATGAGAAGTTTCTGCTGCCCTAGCCCCCTACCCTCACCTGTGGTACTTCGGTCTAGCGACTCTAGGAAACCCATGCCACTTGGATATGGTAAGGATGCTCTTTGCTGAAGCCCACATCTGAATTTATAACTTGGCCCATTTTTTTCCCACTTGGGCAAGTGATCCAGTGAGACCTAACCCTCAAATCTGTTCACTGCCGCAAAGGTACCTCTGCCGGATCAAAGCCATCAGCAACACCTCACCTGGATTTGCAAGGCGGCTACTCGTCGGTCCCAGGATCTGATAAGGATCTACAGCAAAAAGGGAAGACGTCAAATCCCAAAGACATAGTCATGACTTGGTAAGAGGTAACTGCAGGTACTGTGCCGCCCCGCCTTGTGTTTCCAGATTTCAGAGCTGGAAATGTCCGCCACACCAATGTCACCCAGCTCGACTTCCTGCATCAGGTAAGGTGTCCCATGGGATCTGTGAGGCGCTTCTTACTAAGGGCCTCCTCGTCTGGCTGAGTTCAGGTTTGGCCTGTGGTTCCCAACACCCAGCCCCAAGCACTCTGCGCCCTGGGACGTAGGCAGGGCAAGCGTGTGGCCAGTCCCCGGTCGGCCCCGCACCCCGCAGGCCGTGCGGCGGCGTCCCCCACAGTTCCGGCCTCCTGCTGCGCCTCCCCGCATGGGCCTGGGCACTCACATTGGTGCTGCTGCGCCTGGCCCGTAACGCAAAGTTAAAGGAATTCGTGGGTCACAGAGCAGCAACAGCCTGTGTGCAAGCGGAATTCATCCTCCCACCTTTACTGTGCAGGTTTTGGAAATGCTTTAACAAAGTCTCTGGTCATCCTAACTGAGTAGACTGATAACTAGGTCCCCGTTTTATATATAAAGTAGTCATAAAGAAGCCAGAGTAACATGAGTTTCATTTAGAAAATGACACATTTTAGAAATATGCTAGGAAACCTGTTTCTTCTCCAAAGGCCACTGAGGTGTTCCCCGAAACATACCCAACTGAGGCCGCTGGTCTTCAGTTTTGGGCACTGTGGAAGGAGACAGCTGAGCAGCTGAAAGCGCACAAACAAAGGCACAATTAGCTGTGAGTCGTATGTGGCCACTAGTCTTTGATGTCGTATCATCATTCCAGCGACTATCTTAGTAACATAATGTAGCCTTCCTTTCATAATGAGGAGCATCTTATGGCAAGGAAAAGGTGCCCTTTCTCATGAAACTGAACATAACCCTGTAGCCAAAAAAATCATAATAATAGAAGCACTTTTAAATTATTTTTAAAATTTATTTGTATCCCACTAAAAAGAATACAATTTGAGATGGCTTACAAAACAGATTAAAATGGATCACAGTCTAAAATAAATAAAAGGGAAACTACCAGGAAAATGAAATAAAGCAAGAGATACTTTAAACATGGCCAAGATTAGGAAATCACTCAGCACTGAGTCTGTGCTCATATGTCACATGACACATGCATGTGTGCATGTTGAAATCTTGGCCAAAAAGTTTGTTTGGTTTTTTCCCATAAGATAGGTTTACTAGCCCTTAGTTGTCTTTAACTTCATTCAAAACAATTTTGTTAGATTGTATTGTGACAGCTGTCATATCAGCATGCATTTAAGAAAAACATCAAAATTGGTGAATTTTTGTGTAGCCATTCTAATATTGAAGATGCAAGAAAATACGCAACATTTTTGGCATATTTTCCTTGATTTCAAGAAAGGTAAAAATGCAACTGAAATGCAAAAAACAATTTGTGCAATACATGGAGAAGGTGCTGTGACTGATTGAACGTGTCAAAAGTGGTTTGTGAAGTTACGTGCTGGAGATTTCTTGCTGGACAATGCTCCACAGCTGGGTAGACCAGTTGAAGTTGCTAGCAATCACATCGAAACATTACTTGAGAACGATCAATGTTCAACCATGCAGGAGACAGCTGACATACTCAAAATATCCCAGTCCATAAAATTATTGGTGAAAATGAAAAGTGTGTCTTTTATTTTACAGAAAAAACTAAACAGACTTTTTGGCCAGCCCAATACGTGACATTAGTAATTTCTTTTTGTTATGGAAGTAGGTATATGCCCAGTAGAGAAAGAATCATTGCGCTGAAAGACTAGTTGTGCTTCTGTTGCCAAGCGGACAATCACTCGCCATGCTGAAAGAGTGCAGACTAGCTACAGACGTTATTATTTACTCCATCAAGAGTTACCACTCTCTTGCGACATGCAGGTTCAAGGCCTTAGGAGCCAACACTGTACCTTTTGACTGGGGAGCTGGGTGGCCATGACCTGTCCAGGCTGACCTCCTGGGTGGTTCGTAAGGTAAATCTGTAAAGACAAATACATTGACTAAAAGATCAATAATGTAATTTTACAATATTTTTTTTGTTTTGGGTTTATATGAATAAATATTGTGCAAGAAAATCCAGTAACCCACGGATATTTTCCACCTGGATTCCACTAGATCTGGGTTTAGTTTACAAACTATGATTCTGTGTATTTTATTGATCAAACATTTTCACCGGGTAATCCAAAAACCCCCGCTGACAATGGATTCCCCCAGAGCTCGCTGACTCTTCTAAGGGAACCTCCAGCAACCGCAAGCATGGCTATACCAAAAGTTCCTTCTGATCTCATCTGTCCTGCACCCAAATGGGACTGACCTATCTCTACTCCTTTTTGACCTTCATGACCCATCCAAAGCAGAGCCCACCCCTCTGACGAATCAGCCAATCCTGGCTTGAGGGCTGCACCTCAATCCACCAAAAGATGTTCACGTTCCCTTTTCTTCCTTGTGAATAGGCACTGCCTTCTCATCTGCATTTTCCAGCCACCTCTCTCGGCCACCCCTCACTTTCTCTTTATAATCTCATCCACTTGTGTTAAATCCATCTTAACTGTCTTCTTATTTTTCTGTGCAAATGTCTACGCTTTCTCTAAAAGAATTTAGAATTTCTCTAAAATACATTGCATGGAATAAACTGCAAGACTGAAATAGGAGCATGTCCCCAATGTTAGCAGTTAGTATGAGAGCTTAAGTAGAGGCCACTAATTTCTTTCTATTTATCATGCGTTATCACATGTCCTGTAACTCTTTATTGCATTTTGCATATGCAAATTTAATAACTACCTCTGCATCCTCAGTGCAAGTTCTGTAAATGGTTACGAAGACTCTAAGTCATTTTAGGTTTCTTTCAAAAATGTACTCCAGGAAATTATACATGCTTGAACTGTGTATGCATAAAGCTGTTTCTACCTTGCTAATGATTTCAAAACTACATCTTTTTGGACTGATGGGTCTCAGTTCAATGCCACGTGTCATTCTGGACCAACTGAAAAAGCCACAGCCAGGTACTTCAGCGCAGATTCTGCTGCCAGACACCTGAAGGTGGCTACAAAATCTCACTTGGAGGCCAGCTCGGTGTAATTTGTTTTGAGCCTGTCTTTAAACAGATCCTTTAAACCTTATTTAAAATTGCAAATTTGGTGGGTCAACCTTCAAAAAGCTGGACTGCGTTGCAGAAGATGTGTCGCTTCCTATTTTCACACCCCAAAGAGAAGGGTGGTGAAATTCAACACAGCATCGCTGTAATGTATTTGGTCTGCTTGGCTACAAGTGTCTCCACTGGTGTGTGTGGCGGGTGAAATCCTACCCTCCAGAGCTTGGTTGAGCTGGCTGTTTTTTCTTTTTAAACTCTGCTGTGGCTCACCACTCCCGGTCGGCTGGCATTTTCGCGTTTTTGGACCGCCAGCCCTTCCCACCCGGCTCCTCTGAGTCCCACTTTTTCGGTGTGGGGGTTGCACATGGGGGTCACATCGGCAGCCGCTGTCTATTTACGATGCAATTTCAACTCAAGTCTCCGGGAGCACTCTGCAGGCAGAGTCTCACCGACCCAGTTGCATTTTGTCTAAAGCCAGAGTTTCAGTGTGACGACTGCCTCAGAACAGAAACATCTACCAGCAAGGTGATCACAACAGCATCCCGATGCCGTTGCAGACGCGCACATTCACCAGGGCCTTCTGCTTACCAAGCGAGAAAGCCAGATCGCACAGAAACACGCCCCAGCCCCTCGTTTCCCAGCGTGGCCCGCAGGCCAGCAACCCTGGCACCATCCTTGTCGGAAATGCAGCGCCTCGCACTTGAACACGCTTCCAGGTGACTTGGGCGCCCAATGACATTCGAGGAAGCCTGTTCTCGATGTCTCCATCGCCCCTTTTTAGAGTGCGTGTTCCTACAGATAATGATTCCAGAAACTCTACCTGGGTGTGTCGCTACCAATAAGTAAATGTGTGGGGAAGAGTTCTGGATTGAATGATTTTACCTGAGACAGAAGGACACTAATGGAATTAATACCAAGTGTCAGTAGGTTAGTTTGCTTCTATTTTAAACATAAAAACAAACAAACAAAAAACTATTGCTCATGAAATGTGACTGGAAAAAAATTAAACTCCAAACTGCTAATAGGAAAACATTTTGAAACTTCCCCCCCCCCGCCCCCGCCTACAAAATCCTTCACAAGGTGTGCAACCATGCCCATCCTCCCTTGAAAATAAGTCAGGACCTGAACAACACCAAGTCCGATTTTCGGCCAAGAATGTGAGATGTTTCTATGAACAATGACTGACATGTTCATAAACACACTGCCATGGGAGATAAGCGAGCTTTTGTTTCCCGTCATGCGAGCCTGGTCCAATGCTTCCTTATCAGCGGCTCATCACGTGCTATGGGCACCGAGCCCCCTCCTGGGGGACGTGGCATGCAAGGTGCTGAGCTCAGCCTTGCGGGGCAGAGACGTGACCAGCGGCGGCCTCGTCACCCGCTTCCCCCCTCAAAGCGGAGACAGCAGGGCTCTGCCTGAAACAGCACTACCCCAGCGACACCTGCCACTTGTCCCTCACTGGGGGCAGATCAGAGGACGTCGAATAAGGATATGTTTTACACTTAATTCTTAGCGGCCATTTCAATACACTTTCCATTTCTCTTCAACCTTGATCTCCAAGGTGACTCATTCAAACGCTGGGCAGAAGGTTCTGCGTTAGGGAAGGTGGATTTCTGGCATTGATCCAGCTGTTTGTGTGTGTGTTTTTTTTTTCTGTAAAAGACAGTGTGCAAGCACTGAACTTTATAAGAGCCATTTCACAGGCAGCTTAGGGTTACACGGAAGGGAGCACATGTCATGCTCTGGACCCAAGAGCATGAAGGTGCAAACGGGGCGCCTGACGGGTGCTGGTTCCTGCGCACCCGCACGTCTGTGCAATCACTGGGCGCCGGCAGCGCCAGGTCCCGGTTCTGACGGGTCTCCTCCCACCACCTGCCTCCGCCTGGGCGTCAAGTAACCAAGACAGCGCCCTCCCAGCCCCCGCTGCAGAGCTCGGAGCCTGCCTCCTGGGCGCACACCAGGGTCCCCACAGACACGGCTCCTCAGAGGCCAGGCGGAGCGGCACGTCCCGAGATCAGACGCCAGCCTGCAAGTGTCTACAAGTCAGGACTGTCCCTACTTATGCCACGTAAGACCTTCGAGGGGCCATGGCTCCTCAGGCATGTGTTCGGCAGAGGAGGAGGGTGCTTACTAGGGAGACGGGGACGGGTTCTGACAGTCGTAACTGACGACTTGAGAAACACACGGAACACCTTAAAATAGTGATCCCAGAAACAGAATGTAAAGCGATATGCCTGTGTGCTAACACTTCGTAAGAGGAGAGGAGAGGAGAGGCTGCTCTGAATGCTAATGTGCGACAAGGGGTCAGGGTGCATTCTGAGTCAGAACCATTCGGGAGAAGTTCACAGGACGAGCGTGGGAAGGGACGGGGTGAGCGTGAACCAAGGGGTCATACGCCCCCGTGTGGCTATCCGTGAGGCCTCGACAGCAGACCTGGCCCATTACGGGTGAGAGGGACAGGACACAGCGCCTTGGCGGGGTAAGCAGGCCGGGGGCTCTGGCATCAGGGATCCGCCTGGGAAGTCCAGCCACAGCGGGGGCGATGGCAGGCAGCAGCCCAGGGAGGGGCTGCTCGCGGAGGGACCGAAAGGAGGGAGGAGGCTAGGGAGGGGGGCTGGGAAGCAGGACTCGGCAGGATGACCAGGTGGGCAAAGGAGTGCTCCGTGGGCGTGGGCGTGGGCGTGGGGGGCGGGGGCTGGGGTGGACTGCAGATCATGACGGAGCCAACCGAGGATGGAGGGGAACCGAAGCTCGGTTCCCAGGACCTCTCCCAAAGCCAGCTCTTTGGAAAGCAGAAAGATGCCCACTGGCCACAGGGCAGCAGGCAGACTGCCGGGGACTCCCCCTCCCCCGGTGACCTATGCAGGCTTGGGCGTCAGCCTGGCAGCACTCCGCCCCCTGAGCCACCGCAACGTCCCCCATGGGCACTGCTACCAGCGGCCCCCCTCACGAGACCCTTGCCACAACCCAAAGCGTGCAAACGAGTCTCTCCCCCAGGGCCCAATCCCCGAGCCTGGCGCACAGCCGAGCCTTCCCTGCTTGTGCGGCCTGCCATTCTTCCCAGCTCCGACGCCATGGTGTGTCTCTCCTGTCATAATCGCAGGAGCCGGCATCGAAATAGGTGTTTTCTGACACAAACTGAGAGTCTCAGAAACGTACTTGGCTGGTACCAGAAATAAGGAAGTGCGCTCTCGTGAGGGACACAAGGAAGAGCGTCCGCGGAGCCGCGGGCGGTCGCGTTGGAATTGCCGCACTGGCCCTTCCTTCAGCTGAAGCGCAGAGAGGGCAACCTGGCCGCCACCCCCCCAGCCACCCCTTAGCCCTGGAAGGGCTGTATCTTCCATGTCCACCAGCCCGTCAAATGCGAAAAAAAGCGGTTCCAGGATTCCCTGTTCCCCCTGTGCAGCAGCAAGCAGCTACCAGGCCGCTCTGACCGTTGGGCCAACGCTGCAGCCTTTGGATACAACCCAACACCAGCTCACGGTCTCTGGCTTTTGTAACTCTGTTCGTGGCCTCCGTGAGGTAGCTTCAGACGAGCCAACCAACCCAGGCCCACTGTTTCACAGAGAGCGTTTACTTACTTACTTTTTTAAAGGAAGGATGGAAATATTTTTAAATGCTCACCGAATCGTTGAGATCTTCCTACTCTCCCTAAGTGTTCCCAAGGCTGCGTTCACCAGAGTTCTGAGATGCACACACTCAGAACTCTCTAGAGCTGGAGGAACACGTGCCTCTGTGTTCTGCATGGGCAGTCCACCTGGGAGTTTCCGGGGGGACCAGTCCACTTCGCTCTGGACCCCGGGTCTCGCCCAAGATTAAGCGGCCGGCACAACCCCTCCCATGACGGAGCTGATGGAGCACTTTGGCCGAGCCCTCCCGCCAGACTTCTTGGGAACAGGGGAGCAAACATCTTCTCTGATGCTAAGGAGAAAATCGCCAGCCTGAACTCACTGGGGTGGCCCCAGGCCAGGGCCAGCGAGAACTAAACACCGAGAAGCTTCCTAACTCATTCTCCTTAGCTCACCGGCCCCCAGTCTTGCTCACTGAAGAGAAAGAGTAGCTCCAAACTTGGTGCCTCCCACCAATTCCAACGGAGACTTGCAGAGCCGGACACGAGACCAAGTCCAAGGGAAACAGCCTGGACCTGAGAAGACATGCACTCTAGATCCGTGGATGAAAGTGGAGAAACCATCCTGCCGCCCCAAATCACGATTTGCTCAGCCGTGAGGCTGGCCTGACAGCTGCTCACTTGCGGGGCTGTTGTGAGCCTGGGGAGGGGACGGATGTCTCAGGCCTTCCCTCCCTCATCTGGAGAGCCCCCTTCTTCCTCTGACGGAGGGAAGAACTCCTTCCCCTCCCATTCCAACAGCTCTGCGTTAATCAGCACTACTGGTTAAATGTCGCTGGTTTTATGGGAGTTCCTCCTGCTTTGCACTGTTCCCCTGAGGAGCCATATTCACACTTCTGTCCTTCAATTGACTCAAAGCAGGTGGGCTCCTGCTCACCAGGCGCCCTGGATGCCATCTCTGCCCACCCGACTTCCCCGCCGCTAGTTAAGGGCTTGGTACGCTGTTAACGCCCCAGGGATTAAAAGGGACCGTGATTGTGCTCTTTGAAGGAAATGGCCTCGCGGGCTGGGCCCCAACCACAGAGGCAGAATGGGACTGCTGGGAACTTGCTCCCGGTCCAGGACAGGCCCTCTCGGTATCATGTGACTTAGGTCATGGATCTCAGGGGCCATCCTGGGATGTGTCTCAAGGGACAGAGCGCACAGGGGTGTTTTCGTACCTGGCCTAGTTGTAATTCTTTGCGTAGCTTCAGGATATACTGAAGTATTGGGGAAAATAAAAGCTGCACCCCCTGCAGACAAAAGGAAAGACAAAACAAGTGAGGGTCTTCGGCTGTGGTCCCCTCCGGGTCTCAGCAACAGGGCCCCGCCTACTCTGCCCTGGGACAAGGCGGGAGGGAGGGACCTGCTGGAACCTGGGGGGGGCGGCTCTGGGAGGAGAGGACCACACCACGTCAGAAGCAGATTCTGAAGATGGAAGCAGCCGCGAACCTCTACGGAGCCCCCCAGCTTAGCAGGGGTCCTGGGTTTGGATTTTACAGCTTCTTGCTGAGGCCCATTCTGGCGCCCCTCCCCCCACCATGCCCTGCAATCTCTGTTTACTAAAAAAATTCTATGGTGCATGTTTTCATTTTTAAATTACCCCCCCCCCCGCCAAAAATAAACCCTGTAAAACATCTTACAGAGCCTTTGGGAAGTAGTACCAAAGAAGGATAGATATTTTGCCAGAGAATATATGGATCTTATTAAAAATCAATCCACAGCTCCATTCAAATGAATGTTTTCCTTTTCTGTCCCTCAATCAACACGCATACGTTAGCAGGAAGTGTTCCCTTTTCTTAGCTCAGTCCATTTGGGGGTGGCTCACTTGGTCTTTGCTTCTATGTTTAACAATAACAAAAATAATGCAATCAGGGCTTTCTCGAAACTTTCACTCACTGTTCAAATTTTTTTAAATGACCGTGAAATTATCAGAAAATATGTATAGCTCAAAGGTGTTTCCTAAGAGGGGGAAATTACTTTGTCTAAGTTATTTGTTATTTCTGGCCACAAGGCCATTACTAGGCTAATGAGTATAAACTACATTGAAAAAGTATCCTAGCCACTCAGAGCAGGCTTTTTATTTTTTCTTTACTTTAGATTAAAAGCACAATGTTCTGAATTCTGAAGAACAAGATCAAGTAGCAATTTCATGGCAATACTCAAACCTGGGCTCACATGATACATTTTAAAATGAAATGGCAAGTATTTGGCGCATGGCTGTGTTTCTACGACGTGAGGGCTGACCGTGAGTTGGCTTGCATGCTCACAGTGGGTAACCTAAGCCTTGCTGGCCCTTGATGGCTGCATCCCTAGCCTGGGTGGGGGCAGAGGGTCCCTGAGGGCTGAGAAGTGGGGGAGCAGCCTGTGGCCACGCTTGTGCAGCTGTCTGCCGCAGGAGGGAGGAAACGGAGGCCAACCACGGCCAACCACGGGCACGTTGAGCTGAGCCCCAGCTAGGAGGGGAGGGAGGGAGGTTAGCCTGGATGAAGCACTATGTTACACTCTACTAGGCTCAGACAAAAAGTAAACAAACAAATGAAATGCAGAATCCATGGTTAGAGAGAGAAGAGCAGGTATCCAGTTAGTAAGTCATCTCCCATCCTCCAAAACGATAACACTGCTTCCCGTTCAACAAACGCCCGCAGAAAGTACCGACATTCTCTCTGCCTGCCTTTGGCAAATGTGCAAAGTCTGCGCCAGGAGATTAGAGTCAAGATGAGTGGCCCAAAACTCTACCCAAGAGGAAAAAAATCAAAGTCCTGTTTGTCCTAGTCAACACTCCTAGGAGAATAAAAATGAAGAAGGAGAAGAAAGGAAAAGAAGGCTAAGGGGCCCCTTTCTGTCAAACATGCTTTTCACATCTACGGTCAGCACAGTGTGTATCTGGGAACCAGTGGCGGCAGGATGGAATGCAGCAAATGTGAGCTAAGGCTGTGGCAGAGGCTAATCCTGCACATCTCCCAGTTAGAACAAGTGCTTGATTGTCAAGGAAAGCGAAGAGTGCGCAGAAACCAAAGGGCGCCCCCTGCCTCTCGGCTGTGGTACCCCACCTGTCAAAACCCCTCAAGCGTCCACCTGTGCCTTCTGCCTTCCTGCTGCACTGACCGTCCCACGCGCCACCTTTACAGCATGCAACCTGCGGGTGGGACCCTAAGCTGGTCCTGAGGGGAGGGGCAGGGCCAGCATTACCTGTGTTTCTAGCATGCATTAGCCGTGGAGAGTTTTGTAAGGCTTTATCAACATCATCTGAAGTCAAATGTGGAAGAGGAGCTACAAAACAAAACAGCAACATCAAAATGAAAAAAAAAAAAAAAGAGAGAGAGAGAAAGAGAATTACCTTCCTTAAAAAAAAAAAAAAAAAAAGAAGGAAAGAAGAAAGGAAAACACCCTCCCAGTCGTCCCCCTCTAACACCGCAGGCTACTTAGAAGTCTCTCCGTGGCCCTGCCACTTGTTAGCGTGTTAAAACCTAGAGGGGGCCCACGTGTGACTCAGGGAGTGCGTGGTGGGGACGCCAGGCAAAGCATTGACACCAGAGCTTCCACCACCCCACGGTCGCACGGCGGCCGCCTCCCTCGGACCATGCTTGACGTCTGAAAAACGAGAGCATGCAGCAGACTTTGTGGGTTCACGCCTCTCATCGCCACTGTGCCGTTCCCGTTCTGCGGGGCTCGGCCACATCTCGTGAGACCAGAAGATGCCCCTCATTACGTGTTCACGTGGGGCCTCGGCTTAGCTTTAGGGAAGATGAACCCCCAACTCCCCATCCCGTGGGAGCCTTCCCACACGTCTCTAGTGCCTTTGGGGCACGATGGGGACAAAATAACATGTGACCAGGTACAGGTTCCTTTCCCTTTGACCAGCTGGTCGAGGGGACCCAGGGAGGCAGCTGAAGGCTAAGATGACTTTCTGGCTTCTAGTGACAGTGCTGGCTACTTTGCAGCGTGTGCTCACTAAGTCATCGGCCCCTAAGCAACCATCTCTCTCAGACCCAGAGTGGGGGGTCGGGTCAGGGCAGAACGGTGCTGTCACACGGACCCGGGGCCACTCAGGTCAACGAGAACCGCGGCAGCAGTGACCTCGGTCCTGAGTGGGGACCACCTTACTCTCTCTGAGGTAGTGGAGGTGGGAGAGAAGGATGTCGGCGTTGTAGCTGGGGGTGAGCCTCTGGAAGTCGTCTTTGGTCATCTTGCACAGCTCCTTGCCGTCGATGTTCTGGAAGAGTAAGACGTCGACGTCCAGAAGGCTGTATTCTTTCACCGCCCACTCCAGCCACTGCCGCACGTGGTCTGTGCTCCATAGCGTGGGATCTGAAAGGGGATGGGGACAGACTGGATCAACTCCGGAAAACCCATGTCCAGGGCCGAGGCAGGTCGCAGGGGAGTTTCCCGCCAGCCACAGCCCCTCCTGCGCACCGCGCGCACGTCCTCGAGCCTGGCTCGGGGCCGACTCCAAGAGAATGTCTGTCCTTGAAGTGAACTGTGTGGAAGTTCAGGCTTCTTCACCCCGCCTGTCCCTCTGTTGCTCAAATAACTCTCAAGTTTCCTGTAGAGATGGGGCTGGGGCATTCTCCTCCCCCCCCCCATTTATTTTCATTTTAAGTTATTCACCTAAAATGAATACGTGCAAATGGAAAATTTCCTTAGACGACTACTGGTATCTTTACACGAAATCGTGCGTTAGCAACACCTATCAGGAAGATGCTCATTCCAGACTCCAAAAAGCCCAAACCGGTATTTCGACAAAATACTGAAAAATGCTGACCACAGAACTGGAAAGAAAGTGCAGGTAAACCAAAACCCCAGCCCGGCTGTGAGCCGCGTCGCTGGGAGGGCGCTGTCAGTTACGCGCCTTTCCTGCAGGGAGCTTGGTTTTGCAGCTCCCTCACACCTGCAGGGACAGGGCCGGCCGGGGCTCCCGTTCCACAGCTGGGGCACCCAGGCGCCCACAGGATGCAGGCGATGCCATCACGCTCCACTGCCGTGGGAGGCAGGGGGCGCTGGGAGGGCCGGGAGGGCAGGGCCCTGGGGAGAGGGAGACGGCCGTGCCCAACAGAAACGCCAACGGCATGGGGGCTGGGTGCGCAGGGCGCTCCCCGGCAGATGGGACCCTGCTCAGGCTCCTGGGACACCTGGGCGGGAGCAGGAGCCCTGTGCTGGGAGCCCCACGCTGCCTGCCGGCTGGCCGCCCCTCCGGAGGCTGCTCCTCCTTCCTGCCTGTTTCACACGTCCACTGAGAGCCCTGCCCCCGGTCCGTGGGCAGGCCCACAGGGTCAGGCGGGCCGGAAGTTCCGACCACAGGGAGTGCAAAGTCCTGGCGCGGGGATCAGCCCTCCTCTGAATCACTTTTGAGCTCATGGAACCTGCTGGGTGTTACTAACGTGTCGGGCCACTCACGCGCGGGACATGTCGTGTGCTGTGGAAACAGATTTTAAGTTCACAGACACGAAGAGCAGCAGCGGTGAGAAGCGGCCAGTCACCGCACCCGAGTTCTCTTCCTTCCCTCCCGCCTCCCGTTCGTTCCCTTCGCTTTCCTATCTTCTTTTGCAGTGACGTCAGTTAATAACATTATTTAAGTGTCAGGCGTACAACTGCACGGCACATCTCCTGAATACCCCACTGCGCGCCCACCACCCGAAGCCTGTCTCCTGTCGCCCTACATTTGACCCCCTCGACCTTCCTCCTCCTCCCCCTCCATCGACCCCCATACAGTAGTCTCTGTCCATGAGTCCATTCGCTTGCTTGGTTTGTTGCTTTCTGCTTTATATCCCACACATGTGGAATCGTACGGTTCCTGTTTCTAATATTTGTTAGTAGAAAGAAACCATTTCAAATCCAGGACAACCCGCCCGGGGCGCACGCCCTCCTGCCCAGTGCCCCGCGGCCACTGCAGGGGAGGCTGGCGCCACGCCCGCACAGATTTCCATGTTTTTACCGCGTCCGCTGTATATACCGTCTTGTGTTCACGAAGCTAACGTCAGTGGTGTCTGGTTTGCTTTGGGACTCAGCACTGTCTTTTCAAGAGCTGTCCAAGCCCGTGCGCGTAGGCATGGCCAGCCGTTTAAGCAGCTCATGGGCACCCCCTCCCCTAGGAACACGTCCAGTCTCCTGATCGGTGAACGTCCCCATGGCCCGCGCCGGGGCCCACGTGGAGGAATCTACACGGGTCCACAGCCTGGGTCCTCGCTGGAGTCCCCGGGAGGTGGGAGCCAGCTGTCGCCCGGGCTCTCCCCAGGTGAGCTGCCCAGACGCGTGGGCTGTGAGGAGCCCCCCACGAACTCTGATGCACAGCCCCGGTGCAGCCCCGCCCCCCAGGGCCTCGCAACTCGGAGTGGGGTCCGGGCCCCGCAGCATCGCCATGACCGGGGAGCTGGTTGGCAATGCAGAGTGTCGGGCGCCGCCCCAGACCTGCTGGATCCAGCCCGGCATTTTCACACGCTCCTCAGGCGACCCACGTGCACACCACGCTCAGGGAGTTCGGGCCGGGGCGTGGGCCTGGGGTGCAGGTGCCGGGTCCCAGGGCACGTGCGCCATCAAGTTTACCAGTGACACTGGATTTCGACCCGTGTTCTGACGCTCCCTCTCTGACTGGCACTCAGCACACGGGCCCCCAGAACTGAGGAGGAGCCTGGCTCTCCTGCAAAGACAAGAACGTCGACAGAAACCCCAACGGCGGTGTGGACAGGAAGGTGTGCCTGCCCCTCTGTGATTCCCACACGTGGGAACATTCTGTTAGTCTGGAAACTGAGCGTGGGGGTAGCAGGTTAACTCTCTCCCACTCAACAGAGTTCAGATGGGGCTTGGTCACTGGGTCAGGGTTCTGCGTTCAGGGATAAAATGTTCAAAACTCTAGGCTGTTTTTTTTCCCCACGGGTCTTTTTTCTACTTTTTTTCCCCATGTCAAGTTATGGTTCCTCATACAGAAACCGATGGCGTCATGGCCTCAGACGCCCCCACTTCAGGCCACCCCTGCCCTCGGCTCTGGGCGGAGAGGACAGCTATGACCCCTCGGACGGAGCCTCCTGCTGGCCGTCCCCGAGGCGTCCCCTCCAGGCTCCGCCCCGAGGCAGGAGCCCGACTTTGCTCCTTTCTGTTTTGTTTTGTTTTGCCTTGAACACCATGGGAGGACCATGTTCCGGTGCGACGGCTGCCTAAAAATCAGTTCATCCTGGGAACACGCTTTCTTCTCCTCATGGCAGAGCCAGATATTCTAAGAATGATACACGAACATCTTCCTGAAGGTCACGGGGTTCATGTTAAAATGGAGAAAGGACATCTTAGGAAGACAGCCAACAAAAAGCCCAGTCTCCCTGTTGTCCCTCGATGTGCCCGTTCACGAGTTTCCCTCCCCGGCCAGGTCGCCAAGCGATTTCCCTTGGCGAAATTCGATTTCCCTTTACGAAAATCACGTGCAGGACCCCAGAGACCAATTCCTTGAACCATTTTGTTCGCATCTCTCGAACTCTCTCTCGGGACCGCTGGAGCAGCGTTTGCCCGCGCTGCCGGCTGCGTGCCGTCCGGCAATACGACTCAGATGGCTTCTTAAAAAAAAATATGTGTGTGATGTCTGAGCTAAAAATCCCACTTCTAGAAATTTCTCCTAAGGAAACAATAAAGGATGTGGGAAATGACTTATTTTCAAGGATGTCCTTCGTGGTGTTGTTTTTAACAGGACAACATTGGAAACACCCTAAAAATCCAACAGACAAAGACCTAGTTAAGTTGTGGGACATTTAGGAATATTCCCGTGATATTTAGAAATCAAAACCTATACCGCTGCATATGTTTATTGAAATGAAAAAATGTTCAAAGTAGATTAAATTTAAAAAGTCTGAAAACACTATGGCAGTATCACTGTATTTTGAAAGGAAACATAAATACAACCATGGAAAGACTTCTGGAGGGATATGCAACAAAATGGCAACTGTTGTTTCTGGGGAAAAGGTGATGGAGAGTTTTAGGATTTTTCTCCTTTATCCCTAAACTGTATGTTCTCCCCCACCTCCCCCCCAAAAAAGAGTGGATAATACTTAGGTTAAAATTTATTTATAAAAAATGTATTCTTCTCTTTGTTTCTAAATCAAAACAAGGTCTTACAAAGGATTAAACATACATTCATATGTATGCTTATTTGTTACAGTGTTTTTATAAAATTTCTTCCACGGGTATAAAATTTTAACCTCATTTTCTTACACAGTTTGTTCATGGGAACTGCGTTGTTTGAGAAAAATAAAATTACGCACAGCTGGGCTGTTTTTGGGTCCTGCTGGGATCTGACCTCCACACCTCTGCCCTGCAAGTTCACAAGCAATGAACATTAGAAAGGAAATAGGGCCGCTTGCTAGGGCGCATGAGGATGCTCGTTCCCGACCTGTCCTGGAACCACTCTACAGGTGCTGACCCAGACACCTGCAGAGTTTGCGAGGGGTAGGCCCGACTCCCCAGCTGCAGCCCACGGCCCCGAGTTCCTTGGGCCCTGCCATCTTCCCAGCCACACGGCACTGGCTGCTGTGCCCCCATGGCACCCCCTGCTTCTACCTTCCCCTAGACTCGCCCCTCCTTTGAGGTCCATCCCCCTTTGCTCTTAAGCTGTCCGTACATACAACGAGTCTCCATGCAGGAAGCGGTACCGCCACCAGACGCCCAGGCCCGGCTCCACCCCTGCTCCCTGGGCCGGGCATGGGCACGGCAGCTGCAGACAAGAGGGTTTCTGGGACCCAGCCCCCCTTCAGCTCCGTGGGGAGCCCAGCAGCGTCTCTGGGTCTCCTCCAAGACCCATGGTACCTCAGCCAGGCTTGCTTCTGACCCCCTGCCCTCCCAGCGGGGGCTCCCGAGGCCCCCCAGGGCTCCACAGGCCTCGCCTCCTTCCCTGACCCACACTCTGCTGGTGAGCGAGAAAGGGGGGCTGTGAAGCATCGCCCTCGCCTGGGCTCAGATGTGGCAACCACACCGTCCCCCTCCAGGTAGTGGTGCAACAAGAGCGTGTCACTTAACCTCACAGCTGACAGCTGAGCCAGGTTCCCCTCCACGTGGAGAACTCAAGGCTCTGATGGGAAAAGCGCTGAGGTGAGTTTAACTCAGGTGAGAGTTACTGAGAGCCTCCTATGCACGCAAGTACTACAGGCATTCAGAGGGGCTGGGGGAAGAGACGCTGGGGACCTGCCGCGGGAGGCAGCTGCAAGCACCACCCACAGAGCAGTCAAATCTGGGTCTCCACGCAGGGCGTGAGTGTGCGGAGAGGGCGCCACGGACCCCAACCAGGGAAAAGGAGGTTTCCCAGGTCTGCGTGGCTTGAGCCTACATCAACGGAA